ACTGGTCTTGGTGTTCTGAAGCTATGAAGCGTGAGTGGCGGATGTCGTGTGGGGGGGGATGGGGGGGATTTGGACAATTAACCACAATTTGACATGTGACACCTCTCGTAACGAGCAACACCTCTTTTATTTGTCCATATTGGTCCTTTACTTTACAGCGTGCACATCCTCTCTCTACATCTTTCCGAGGAATTGGATTGTTCAATCAACCATCGGATCGGACCATCTAATCCGGCTTATTGAGTCTATTTTTTAGTCTCGTTTGGATAATTTGAACTGTTTATATTGTAGGATTATTGAGTATGTCATTTTTGCAAAAAAAAAAAAAAAAAATTGATCCGATAACGGAAATCACATGTTCAAATTAATTTTATATAGATGGTGAAAAACTAAATGGTTCATACAATTGTTATAGCGATCCCGGTTATCCTTTTACTGTTCTGTTGTTTTCCGGACGCGGTTCCGTGGAGTTGGTAGTGGTACCTATCGTGTTGTCAACCTTTAAACTCTCTTGTTTGAGTTTTAGAATGTGTTGAGCTTGGTTGTTACAGGTTGGTAGAGCTTTAGCTCCCATTGTTGTTATCCAGTTTTTTGAATGGTCCGCTCGAGCGGGTCTTCTTGCGCTCGAGCGGGGTTTTCACAGTTTCAGTATTTCGTGTCTCTGCAAAACTTCTGCAGATGTGTTTTCTACGCTCGAGCTGGTTTCTTGTGCTCGAGCGGGTCGCGCTCGAGCGGGATTGTCAGAGCTCGAGCGGGTAGTACGTTTTGGTGTAAGTTCTGGAAGGGAGAAATCTACGCTCGAGCGGACCGGTTTCCGCGCTCGAGCGGATGTACTTTATTCTTGTGTCTTGGCGCTCGAGCGGGCCTTATTGAGCTCGAGCGTAGCTAGTTTTTGTCCTTGACGCTCGAGCATTGCGTTCTCCGCTCGAGCGGGAGAGTCGTATATCAGTTGATAGCTAGGCTATTTTAAATCACTTTTTACATTTCCTTTCTCTCTCTTACTTTCCCAAAACTGATTTTTGAGAGCTCCTCACTCTAAAACCTAACTTCTCTCTAGGGTTTGATCTAGTATGAGTGTTTTCCTCACCTTGAGCCTTTACAAAAAGTGTGTTGATCATTGAGGGCTACATTTTGATCCAAGAAAGTTGGTGTTTGGAGCACTTCCGAGTTTAGCTCTTCTTCTCCTTGGGTTCTACATTTGAGGTAGGGATTTCCTTGTTCTTTTTCAATACTTCGTCTACAGATAGACATGTGGTAATTTTGTATTACATAAAAAATCAAATCCATGTTGGATTTGTTTGAAATCATGAGAAGGAACCTAGGGTTGGGTGTTGAAAAATGGTTATGTTATCATTGATGGTTGTTTTAGGCTAATTGGAGTGTAAATTAGCATGTTGTAGTTGACAGACGAAAAAGCCCTAAATCATATTTTGATTGATAAATTAAAATGGAGGATAATGAACCCTTTTTGTAAATCTCTATTGTTGATGTGGGTTGGGTGAAGGTGTTAATGCCTAGGGGTTAACTTCGGCTTTGGAATGGTTTGAAATGAATGTAGTGAACTAATGTGAGTTATGGCTTTATTATTAATGGAATTGGTCTTGTGACAACAAAAGGGACGGAGTTGGTTTTGTGAAAAACAAAAAGGGAAGTGGAACTTGTTTTGTGAAATGGGAAAAGTTTTTTTGAAATACGTATGAAAATTAGATTGTTGTTTCTTGAGTGTTGAACACACTTGTGTGGGATTGTATCTTCAACTACCATGTTAATGTTGTTGTTGGGTTTGTGGTCTCATAGTAATTGAGTCTTTAATAGATGTATTAAATATTTGCATCTAGAGGTTTTGTCATTGGTCATCGGTGGAGGATGATGCGGTAGTTATGTGATGAAGTGTTGAGGTACATTATACATGTATGCTTGCTCGGGAGGAGGTAGTTATGTGTTCATATACTTTAACACATTGCTTGTATCTTGATGGTTTGTGTATATATGTTATACATATTGAATATGTCCTGTTGTGTTGGATTGGTGGTGTTATACCTTGCGCTAAGAATCAAAGGTACCGTGACCTTCCAGCTAGCGCCTGGAGAACTGACTGCGCTGAGAATATAAGGCATCATAGCCTTCCAGCTAGCGCTTGGTAAACTGGCATGTTGTTGTGAGAGGTGTACCTTTGGCTTGCTACGCACATAGCTAGTAGAGCAAAGTTTTGTTGTTGATATTTCAGTGTGTCTGGGAATATCATGGGTTGTGTCAGTTACAGTTTTGGAGGGCCGAGTTGCCTCATTGTTTTATCTCATGCATGTTGGTGAGTTGTCATCTCTCTCTCTTTATAACGGTGCATGCATAGATTTGATTGTATCAGGAAGAAGCCAAAATGTCATTTCTGTCTTTTGGAAAGTGTGAAGGAGAACGGATATTTTTAAAAAAATATATGTATATATTTTGAAAAGGCATATGTGTGTATGTTTGGGAAATGGGAGAGAGTAGTGGTCTTAGTGAATTTATTTCCTAAGAAATTGTTAATGCTAGGAAAGATTGGGAACGGGGATTAATGAAAGGAAAAAGGAAAGATGAATCGCCTATGGCGTTGATTGAAATGGTTGTTTTCAAGAAAAGTGCAAAATTATGTATATTTTGTGTAAACTGTCACAGTACTATTCTAGTATGAGATTGAGCATTCATGATCATAGCTATCTGTATGTTGTTATTGTTGAGGGCCATGTTGAGATCCCTACTGGACTATATGTTCATCCCACGTTGTTGAATCTTTTTCAGGTGTTTAGCAGGAAATGCTACAAGATTCGGATCTTCTTATTTGTTGGCCACGGGGCCTCTTTGTTGTAGGCGGAACGCCATATGTGTACAAAGGTTGTACCCTTCATTTAATTATTTAATGTTGTAAGCCTGAGGGCAACTTATTCAGAATAGTCATGTTGTATTTAATTAGCATTCGAAAGAGAGAGAGTTGTTGTTCATTCCTTTTAGTTGAACATTTGAGTTTATTTCCGCATGTTATCTCTGAAATTGAATTAAGTTAATGAACTTGGTAATGACTTCGAGTAATAAAAAGTGGGGCGTGACAATATTTTTCTACTTGTATTGTTGAATTTGTTATTTGACAGGTTTGTAATACATGTGTGTGATACAATATATTTTCCTTTTATTTTTTTGGTTGTGTAGCGCCCTACTTTTTATTACTCGAAGTCATTACCAAATTCATTAGCTTAATTCAAGTTCAGAGATAACATGCGGAAATAAACTCTTAGTCCCATGAGTAGAAATAAATAACAATTCTCTCATCCGAATGCAAATTAAATACAATATGAGCATACTGAATAAAATGCCCGAAGGCTTACATCATTAAAGAATCAAAAGAAGGGTGTAACCCTTTTACATATATGGCATTCCGCCAACACAAAAAAAGCCCCGTGGCCAACAAGTAAGAAGATCCACATCTTGTAACACATCATGCTTAACACCTTAAAAAGATTCAACAACGTGAGATGAACATATAGTCCAGTAGGGATCTCTACATGATCGTGACTGACGGATCTGATGAACCGGGCACAGAAAGGTAGGTGAAAAACACTGTTGTTTCATTCAGATCTTCTGGCACAACTGGCTTCAAGGCAGGAACAGACTCAAAAGAAAGAGTGCAAAAGACAAACACAAAACAAGATAGTGATGTCCGAAGTAACACCCTCGAAATCACCTGACTCCTATACAACGGGACTGACTCGATACCACAAGATGGACCCCAAACAAAAAGACTGACTCAAAACGAAGAGACAGACTCAAAACAACACAACAGAACTAACTCAATACCCAAGCCAGAACA